CGGGGCCCCCGGCCTGGGGGGAGGCCGATCCCGGGCCGCTCGGAGGCCCGCAGAGCCGGCAGGGGGGTGGGGGGGGCAGGGGACCGGGTCCCAGGACGGCGGACAGCGGGAAGGCGCGGCGGGGCGCCGGGAGGAGGGGTGTGGGAGCCGCACTCACCGGCCAGGCCCCTCTCGCTGCCTCCTGCGGCCCCAGAACCATAACAAAGCTCTGCCCAAAATGGCTGCCCGGCCCTGCCCGGCCGGGGGCCGGAGGGGGCGGGGCTTGCGCTCGCGCGGGGCGGGGACGAGGAGGCGGAAGGGACACGCCCACCTGGCTTCCCCGGCGGCCACGCGGAGCGTTCTTCCCCCCCGCCTCCACCCCGCCCCACCAATCAGAGCACCGCCCTCGTCACCTGCCGGGCGCCACCGGAGACTACGCATTCCAGAAGGTCGTGCGCCCGTCCGCCACGCCGATCGGCCTGGCGCGGCGCCGCGGAGCATGCTGGGATTTGTAGTCCCGCCGGCATCGGGAGTGAGGCTCGCCCGCTGAGGCGATCACCGGAACAGAGAAAACGGGAGCGGCTCCCCCAGCCCCCGTGGCCGCAGCCTTCGGGCTGGGAGCCAGCGCGGCTTTTCGGTGCTGCTGGTGCACCGGGGACCTGTTCCCGCCCGGACCCGCACCGCCGGACTGCTTCCTGGGGCACCGGAAGCCGCCTCAACGAGGAGGCTGCAGGTTGGAGCCGGTGGGTAGTGCCGCGGTGGGGGCCTAGCCCCGGTTCCCCGGCCGGCAGCGCGGTCCCTCCGTGCCATCCCCCGGTGACCGCCGCCGTCGTGTCCGGGCTTTGGCTGCTCGGAGCCGCCCCTCTTCGGCGGAGCAGCGGGATCTCGGACCGGGGGGCGAAGTCTGCCGGGGAGTTGGATGTAAGACAAAGTCACCTGTTCGTCGGTTTCAGACCTTCTCCTTTTTTTTTAGGGCCTTGGTAAAGCAAAGATGTTTCCTCTGGTACAACGGTGCTGCTTCCGCATACCTTTCAAAGTAAGTGTCTGAAGCCTTTTTTACTGTCTATTTTTCTTTAAAACAGTAAAAGGTATGACTGGAGCATTGGAGAAGAAGGTGACTTTCAAGTTGGAGCAGCCTCATGTTTGTCACTCAGCTTTTCTGAGAGAAATCCTAGTTTCTACAGCAGCTTTTAGCCGAAGCGATGATAATTCTTTTATAAAATAAAATTTTATTGTCCAAAGGTCTTTTTTCCCCTTTTTGGCAGACTAGTGAGGGCGCAGTAGCTAGCTTCTGGAGTAACCTTGTCCTGCTTCTGTAATCATTTTATAGCTTACTCTAAAAAGGACTGATATATGTTAAAAATACATAAAGAATGCATGCATGGGTGGAAGGACGGGTGGGTATCAGAGGGCTGGAACACCTATGCTATGAAGACAGGCTGAGAGAGTTGGGGTTGTCTAGCCTAGAGAAGAGAAGGCTCCAGGGAGCCCTTATAAGTGATCTTCTGGTACCTGAAGGAGGCTACAGGAGAGATGGGGAGGGACTCTTTAGCAGGGATTGGAGTAATAGGACAAGGGGTAATGGTTTTAAACTGAAAGAGGGGAGATTTAGATTAGATACTAGAAAGAAATTATTTCCTGTGAGGGTGGTGAGACACTGGAACAGGTTCCCCAGGGAAGCTGTGGATGCCCCATCCCTGGAAGTGTTCAAGGCCAGGCTGGATGGGGCTTTGAATAACCTGGTCTGGTGGGAGGTGTCCCTGCCCATGGCAGGGGGGTTGGAACTCGATGATCTTTAAGGTCCCTTCCAACCTGAACTATGCCATGAATCTATGATATACAAACCTTTTGTGGTGAGTAAGGTTTATTTACTCACTATGAAGAACCTAGATGCTCTTCATCAGCTCACTTGTGGAAGCTGTGTCAGCTTAATCAGTTAAGTTAAAAACACCTGAAAACCAAGAGGAAGGGCAGATGGGATGTGACCTGGCCTGGAAAACTCCTTGGTACAATATTTCATAGGTAGTTAGGGTAACGGTAGATTTGAAAGCCTACATTGCAAGGTGTTCAGAACAAGTTTTATACTTGCAGCTCCAGAAGTCTACTGGTCCCAGAATACTACCATATGGAAAGAGTAAGACAACTTGGTCTTCTGTCGGCCTCCATCTGCAAAGAGATGTGTGTCATCTCTCAAGATCTCCAAGCCTCAACCTAGCATCAGTATATGCAACCAAGCTCCAGGCTTTTCACACCTCCCTCCCCTTCTTCAAGAAGAAAACCCCCAAAGAATCTGAGACCAAAGACTCAGGCGTATTGCAACGAAGCATGAAATTGCTACAGGATTCTCCAAAGCCAGCCCTTTACCTAAGCCTTGGGGGGCTAATTCCATTTGTTTCTGTGCCACTGACAATGGCCATCCAAGGGACCTACTACCCAGAGCTGGCATTTGCTCAGGTGATATACGGTGCCGTGACAGTCTCCTTCCTAGGAGGAATGAGGTGGGGGTTCGCTCTCCCAGAAGACAGCCCGGCCAAGCCAGACTGGCTGAACCTGGCCAACAGTACAGTTCCTCCTCTACTCGCCTGGCAAGCCTTGCTTTTTAAAGATATCACTCATGGTGCAATAATGCTAGTAATGGCCTTAGGGATAGCGCTACATTATGATGTTTCCCTTCTTCCTCCTTATCCTCGGTGGTTTAAAGTCCTGAGGGTCATTGGAACAGTGGTGATGGTATTATCGTTATTAGCTACTGCAGGGTTGAAGACTTTTTTAGAGCTGCAGCTAAGTGACAGCAAAAATAAATGGCAGAACACAAAATAATAAATCAATAGGCAAAAATTGTTAATTTGCCCATAAGGTATTTGTATTGAGTTCCAGGGGGAAATACTTATTTGTGCTTAGAAATCATGAGATGGCAGTGATCAAGATGCTTATTCTCAAAGCAAACAAGTTAGCTGGTTTAGAAGAGAAGGACTGTAAATAGCAATGACTTCTATGGCAGGCATGAGCCTGTCCTTATCTGTAGAAGGCATCACTCTTGAATGAGATGTTACCGACATATGAATTGCTCTATGCTGAATTATTAAAGGATCTGGTTTAACTATAATGCATGGTAATGTTCTGTGGGGAGAACAACTTGTGTAGTCATAAACAGTAACAAGGTGAAAGCAATTCTAGATGAATGTTTAAAGAAGCAGCAGAATAATATGGAAAAGTATGTGTTCACTTCCTGTGTTGTGGAATGGAACTCTTCTCTGTCTTACTTCAGCTGAGAAGGTGCTGTAAATGCCATGTGCTTCAGTGCAAGTGAGGTTAAAAAAGGACAGGGAAGGCTTGTTCACAGCAGCAAATCAAGGTCAGCGCTCACCTAAAATATGTCATCCAGCTGCTGCGATGGAGTGGGGAAAGGTAGAAGGGGAAGCTCTGTATCTTTGACAAGGTGCCACAAGAGACAGAAGGGAGCTTCCTACTCAGGCTTAATTCAATAAAAAAAGGATACCAGGGCTGTCTTCCTAGGTTTTGTTTGGACTTAGGGTTGCCTAGCTAAGGAAGCTGCATGTGACATAGCCATAAAGATCTGTCATGCTCCTAAATTAAAGTACCATCCGTTGAAGATAGACAGAAATGTATGATATGACACAAGGACTCAATCGCTGGCACTAAAGGATTAGATAATGGGATTGAAAGCAGTTTGTGTCTTCTCCTTCCTCAAAACTCATTTTATTTGAGCATCTGGGCTAGGTGCAAACAGACGTGTAGCCTGCAAACCCTCCATGATGGGATTCAGTTATTGAAAACGCTGGACTTTGTGCTTATATTCTTCTAACACATCATTTTGGGGAAGAAGATACAGCCTAAGCCACATGGGTTTTCTTTCCTAGCCTCAGCTGCTTCAAGAAACCTATGAAATTGTATGTGGGAATATTTACTGTGGCTTTTTATCTTAAGTATTCTTTAAGTACAGTATAAGATGCAAAAAGAAAGCTGTAAAGCGACATCTACACACAATCTTAGGACCAATTTAGAAAATCCTCCTAGTTCTTTTAAAGCACTAATCCTCATTGTCATTCTACAGAGACTAATGCACATACTGTCACTTGAAATTTATTATCTCTTCGTTCTGCAAAGAACAGACATTTAAGAAACCTGTCTATCCTGAAGGTACAGTATTGCTGAAACAGCAACTACGTACATGAACCTCTAACTTTTGTAACCTGTTAACCTTTACTTGTTAATAGCATCATACCTCTGAAATGGCGATAAAGGAAGTAAAATTGAGTTCGTAAATGAAAACAGTTGTTTTATTCCTCCTTAGACATGGCATTTTTTAAGATGGGCCCAGAGAAGAGTACTGCCTTTGGCTTGATTTGGGGAAAGAGGCGCTGAGTATCAGAGACCATAATCAATCAACTTCAAAGTTTCATTCAAACATGACAGAATCAACCACAAAAACTGGAGAAGGTAACTTCATACAACAGCAGACTCCCTCAAGCTCCACTACACAAAGTTTTCAGGTAGGGATCAGAAGTGAACTCCCAGTTCCTAAACTAATAAAGTAGAGCTAATGTAATATTTCTCAAATGGTTCGTGAGGGATCCTGAAATGTAAAGAAGAAATCCTAGGAAAAATTTGATCCCAGAGAGGGTTGCACAGAGCTGGCAAGGCAGCCAGACTGCCAAGAAGTCTGAGTGATTTTACACTGAGAAGAGAAATAACATCAATATTTTACTACAGAAGCATGTTACTTACACCTTTCAAATAGTCAAGACTTATAACCAATCTTCCCTAGTGTCCCACTGGGAAATAGGATTTCCAGTTAAAAAAAAAAAAAAGGAAAAAGAAAAGAAGAAAGTAGCAGTGAAGCAGTGATGACAACTCATTCTGACTGGAAAGCAACCTATTCAAATGCATTCCACAGTTCTGAAAACGCATTTTATTATGAAAAACTTTTTAAAACAAGCTTCAACTTAGGGAAAAAAAAGATAATAAACATTAGTTCACACACATAAGAAATCTTTTTGAAGTAAAAGCACACACAAGATTATAGAATGATCAGAGAAATGAATGTTCCATCACCTACCATGTTTTAGCCTGGCAATCTCCCAGCTCTGTGTTAGAACATAAGACCTAGATTCTTAACGTACCTGCAACACTCACCTTGGAAGCTTTTATTCATGTATTAATTTGTTAATTTTACATGGGGAATATTGACCTAGACAGCATGAACGTGTCCTTGTCTACACAGAGCAGGCTTCCTGTTTTGTGACATTCCAGTTGTGGTTTTGTGTTGTAGAATAACACTGTCTATCAAAGGTCAAGCAGCCTTGTTTCAGACTCCATCCAGATCATCCACAGCTGGGCAGAAAATGCAACCCCATTGTACAAAACCCAACTTCAAGTAGGTTAATTAAATGGATCTAGAAATAACTCCAAACTCCTCGTAGTACTGTTCTATTAAGTGTATCCAAGCTAAATACAAACTCCTCCTGACAAAACGCAATAATCACTTTAATGCTGAATGCAGCTAATTCTATCACAAAATGCTCTGTCTGCGCAAATTTGGAAGAAGCAGGATACGAGATGTAGCAAGGAGGAACCTGTGTACCTTGAAGAAGAGCATGTATTCCAATGTCAAGTCTCAGCATGTGTCACACAGGGTAAAAACATATTTAACTAAGGAAAAAAAAAAGGGCAAAGGCTTTCCCTATATTTTTATACTAAAAGCAGTCCTGAACAGAACAGCTAATCCAATGAATAGCATTTCTGTTTAGAATTCAACAGAGCTTACACAAAAAGGAGCTCTACTATCATCACTGATGCCACTGAGAAGAAAAGCCTGTGCTGGAGTGGAATGACATTATTAGAACTGTGAGAATAACCTTCCAGAACTGGAGATTTCCAGCGAGGTGGCCAGAAAGTAAATACCCAATTCAAATTTAATTCAAATCATGTCCAGCTGCAGAAAAGAGCCTCAAATGCATCAAAGTCATAAGCAGAGGTACCAAGTGTTCCCCATCTGTTATCTTCTGCCAGAAAAGAACAACTCATGCTAACCAAGTAGCCCACCTGCTCTTACCTCCTGATAACTTCTAGCTACCCGTCTACAGCAGCCTCCTTCCAGTTCATAAGGTCAGCTAAAGACGCTAGTTTTGGTGAACCTTTGAGAGTTAACAACCTGTTTAATGTCTCTAATGTGCTGGAATGATTTCTTCAGATTTTCACAGGGCATATTTGCCACTTAATTCAGTGAGCTTAATCCAGTCATAAGAGGCATTTCTACCCCTAACAGAGACAGCCATTGGATAAACCAATTTACTTCGAAGGGCGAGGGTTTTAGAAGTTCCTTTTTCTCAGGAAAAGCCCTCTGATCTAATTTTCCTCTGTCTCTACTTGAAGCACCTGTGTTAGAAGAGGTTTCTGGCCAACAAAACCAGAAATGCTAGGAGACAGATTTACTCATTCCTTGAATGAGTTTTCTTCCTTGTGTTCTACAGCATAGCTACACCTCCTTCGCAGCGGCTGGTGATCATGTTGGCAATTTCAGTCCAACTGTCCATATGAGGGTTATAAACTTCAACAGAGTCAGAGGTTACCGGAGCAGCAAAATCATGGCTGGGAGCTCGGCCTCCCAAGGCATAAAGAAATCCATTCACAGCCACGACACAGACACCAGCTCTTGGTATCTTCATCGATGCAACGTCAACCCACTTTTCCTAATAAGAAGGTGAAAAAGTCAACAAGTAGTTTTAGGCTGAGCCCCAATTCTGACAAAAGTAACTTTTAAAGCTTAAAGTCTGCAACATATACAAAGAACACTATGAATTCACAGGCTCAAATATGGTATGTGTACAGCATCAAGAGGATTATCAAGACTGAAATGACTACACTTTCAAAAGTGGTCCAAGTCATGGTAGTCACTAAAAACCACATCACATACTGTCTGCACACAACAACCCTCCCCTTCTTCAGACACTACAAGATGCAGTCTGTCTCCAAAATAGAGAATGGTCCAGAGTTTGAGATGTGAAATAAGGAAAATTAGATGGCAAAACAGAATGGCACAGTGGATCGTGTTCTGCTTTTGACACCAGCTACTGTTCCAAAGAGCATCATATAAACATGAGCAGTAACAGTCAGGAATAATTTCTTATCTTATTGAAATGCTTAAGTGTTCAAAGTGATTTTTCTAGTCATGCTGAAACACCACCACTTTTTGATGCAGCAACAAACATCTTCAACAGAAACATCCTTTGTAACAAAGGGCAACTCTTACTTTTTCCAGGGATTTTTTTTCTCTAGTCAGATTATCGATCATTTTATTACAGAGAGGGAAATCTATCCCCCCATCTTAACCCTATCAAGTATTTACCAAACTACGGTATATCTATGCATAATCAGTATTGGTTTGCTTTCTGTTTCCTAAAAGCATGCATATGATCTTCATGAACGCTCCACTAAGTCAGACAGCAAGATTCTACAGACTGGTTAGGACAGACAGACACTCACTGACGCTTTGTTTCACTCAGATTACCAGCCAGCAGTGAAAAGAAAATGGAATTTCCAACTTTTTTCAAGAAAGGAAGCATGCTATCTCTATGGCATCTTACACAAAGTTGATGCAATCTACATTTATGAAAGGAAGGGATTCTACCATACCTCTTCAAAGGAGTATCTTTCTACAGTAGCAAGTGCATCCTGAGATTCATTCCAGCCTCCCACAGCATAGATACAATCATTGAGAGCAGCCACACCAAGATACGCTCTTCGGGTACCCATTGGAGGGAGCTCAGACCAACGTTTAGATATCGGGTCATAGACTTCAACAGAACGTAGCTCTACCCCTTCACTGCTGATACCACCAACAACATAAATCAAACCTGCAAAAACAGAGTTTCTCCTCTGTTAGGTTTCATAACACAAAGATTTGAAAGACAGAAAACGTTTGTCACAATAAAAGTTCCACCCTAACATTAAGATGGCTTAGAGAATGCCAGATAAAAATCCTCCATTTGTCCAGTAGTAGCATACATAAAGCTTTTAAATGAGTAGCTTGAGGCTTGAGATGAAAACAATAATTAATCAAGCACAGAGGAGAGAATTCAGAAG